GGCTGCTAGCTTCAAGAAAAAAGAAAGTCAGACATCCACAGCCTCCTGCTGAATGTACCCCAGACAGATGCCTGTGGTCACACCAAAGGGATCCAATCAGAGTCTCATCCTAGTTCTAAAAGCAACTGCCAATTTGTAGGGGATGCGTAGGACAGAGGAGAATGCTGACTACCTGCATTATGGGTGTAGGATCAACAACACATGGAAATCCTTCTGGACAAACAGCCAGGATTGTGAAATCCATTCATTATAATCAAGGCAAGGGATAGAGGGGAATCTGTGAATGCAATGAGACCTAGAGGCGGGGTGTAGCTCAGTGACAGAGCGCTTGCCTAGCAGGGGCAAGGCCCTGGGTGGATCCCCAGTGGGAGAGAAGCAAGAGTCACATTAGTCACCTGGGTCAGGGCAGCTGTGATTGGGATGCACATGTCCCTGGAGGATTTCTGGGGTAGCTGGCAAAGTGCTAATTGTGGACCTGGATGCGATTTATAATGCTGCTTACCTTATAAACTCAAACTTAGCACTAGCCGTATTTGGGTCAGATAATCCTTGGTTGGGGGAGCTGCCCTGTGCATTGGGCAATGTTTAGTTGCACCCCTGGGTTCTACCCTCTTCCCTAGTCACGAAAATCAAAACTGCCTCTAGAGCTGGGGGTGTGGTTCAGTGACAGAGCGTCTGACATGGGTGAGGCCCTGGGGTCCATCCCCAGCATCCCAAGGCTGGGAGGACCACACAAAACCAAAACCAACCAAAGAAATAACACTCTAGAAGTTGCCAAATGTCCCCTCAGGGAAAAATCACCCCTGAAGAACTCCTCTTTAGAGTAACTCCTTGAGCCATATAAATTTGATTTATCTGGTTTCATAGATCTGGCTCTGTGTGTGTTCACATGTGTTCATTTTATTTCAAAATTATTATTATTTGGGGCTGGGGATGTGGCTCAAGTGGTAGCGCGCTCGCCTAGCATGCGTGAGGCACTGGGTTCGATTCTCAGCACCACATAAAAACAAAATAAAGATATTGTGTCCACCTAGAACTAAAAAATAAATATTTTTAAAAAATTATTATTATTTTTTTGGTGTTGAGGATTGATTGGACCCAGGGCCTCACACATGCTAAGCAAGTGCTCTATTTTGCAATAAGAATGTTTTTCTAAATTCCCATGGAATTTCCATGGGGAAATGTGACAGAATTTTCTGGTTTATCCAATAATGAAAATAGCCCAGGAATTCTTTGAAAAAAGAGGAGAACTAGATATGAAAATATATGTTGACATACTATTGGGGTCTCACTGCAGTACCTTAACACAGAGGGGAACTGGGTCACACAGAAGCATCTTGGGAACATAAACACCCGCCTCCAGATGAACCTTAATTAATTAATTAAATTTTTTTTTTTGAGAGAGAGAGAGAGAATTTTTTAATATTTATTTCTCCCAGGCGAGCGCGCTACCGCTTGAGCCACATCCCCGGCCCTAGGTTGAGTCCTTAAAAAAAAAAAAAAAACAGGGAAGGTGGTTACAGGAGCATATGCAAGGAAGATGTTTCAAAGGTGGGACAGCATATGCAAAGGCCCTGCAGTGGGAAGGATGGGGTATCTCACAGAGACCTTGGGAATTGAGTAACAGCCACACAAATCGGTTTATTTTGTGCTGAGAGTCTTCCTGTGGCTCCCCCTAGTGTCCCGTGGATCAAATCCAGGCTTCTTGGTCCTGGGCTGGGCGGAATTTAGCAGCCCTTAGGGCACAACTGCCTCCTCCCGCAGCCCTCCAGCAGTCACTGCAGGACCCACCCCCAGCCGCGCCCCGCAGCCCCAGCCCTGCCCACAGAGCCCACCCCGCCTCACCATTGGACAGCTAGGAAGCCGCGGGAGCTGGTTGGCTGGTGTGACCGTCAGTTAGGGTCAAGGCCTTGATAACCCGTCCCCGAGCTTCGAGGGGGTGGGCTCGGGTGCGGGCGAGGCCAGGGCTGCGGCTTCAGGTAAAGCGCCAGCTTGCGGGGACACCCTTGGGGTCCTGGAGGGGATCAGGGGACGCTTCGGGAAGGGAGGGCGCTGCGCTTCCAGTCCGTCGTGGGCTCGGCGTGCTGCGACGGGTGGGCACTCTGTCCTCCGACGGGGACTCCTCGGACCAGGGGGGCCCCGGTGGTAGCGAGCCAGGCGGGTAGCGGGGCTCTGGGTTCAGGACATCCCCCCGTCGTTCCTCAAGAGCCAACTGCGGGGCTTGCTCACCTCCTCGTGCCCCAGGCCACTACGGGCTCTCCCCGAGTCGCTCCTGGTCGGCTTGGGGACCTAGACCAGCCTCCGAGCTGCTCGGTGCTGGGTGCGGGTGGCGGCGGGGTGGGATGGGGGGAGGCGGAAACGGTGTTGGGGGGGAGGGACCGACGGCCGGGGACCCGCGGACAATGGGCAGCGGATGGGACCGCCCGGCGGCGTTTCCTGTAGGAAACTGCCCTTGTCTCTGCAAGGCCGACCTGACCTGCGGGTGGTAGTGGTGGGGGCTTCTGACCCGAGCGCCCTCCTCTCCCGCGTCATCAGCCCCCACCCCCACGTCGGGGATCTGAGAGGGTGCCACCACCGGGGCCTCAGTCCGGGAGGGCTGGACCCGGACCCGCATTGCCTGCCGCGTCCGCTCTCGCTCAGGTTTCCTGATCGCAGCTCCGCATCTGGAAATAGTCTCAGGGGCGGGAATGGGGGCGTGTGGCGTCAGCTCTGACGGCCTAATAAGGGGTCTCAGGCGGAGGATCCGGATTTAGCTGTGACAGCCAGGACAGGCAGCGGAGGAGAGGGCGGCTACCAGCTCCACTCCAGTCAGTCTGCGGGCTCTAGGGCAGCCTGGTTGTGGGTCTGTCCCTCCACCATCCCCTAGACCTCAGTTAGGGACAGGCAGGAACTGACCGGTGCAGGCTGGAAGGGCCTCAGCTCTGGGGACGGGAAGGAGTTCCTTCTAGAAGGCAGGCAGTTATAGCGGTAATATGAGGAGCAGAAGCGCAATCCTGTAATCTCAGTATCTGGGGAAGCTGAGGCAGGAGGGTCCCAAGTCCGAGGCTAGCCTGAGCAAATTAGCAAGACTCTGTCTCAAATAAATAAATAAATAAATAAACAAACGGCCGGGTATGTAACTTAGTGGTAGAGCACTTGCCTAGCTATGTGCCTGGCCCTTGGATCCACTCCCAGTACCAGGAAAAAAAAAAAGTTAATAGTCATAAATTCCTTAGAATAAGAATTTGGCCCATAATAGATGCAAAAGTGTTGTTGTTATTTACCGTCCTGGGGCCATCCACCCATTATTCAATTCAGCTTCTTGATCCAGCTGCTCCAGCTGGTTTAGGTCTCAGGGATGACTACACCTGTGTTTTCCATCCCAGAGCCTCAGATTGGGTGTGACCAGGTCACTGGAGGAGGGGACTGACCCATTCAGTCATGTACCAGCTGTGTGAGAGGCAGGTCCAGACCCTAATATAGGCTTTTTCCAAAACCTGTTTCTTCCCTAGCAATTTCCTGAAAACAAGTTGTGAGAGGTACTGGCTGTCCTCAGTGATGACCTGCTGCCCTGCTGGCCCACCCCTTGTGCTGGTGTGAGGGGACAGGAAACAGCTGCCTGGGGACTGGAAGGAGCCCTTCCTGGTCTTGGAGGGAGATGTCAGGGACTAAGGCTGGACACAGATGGGGAGTGGAAGGGGGTCCCCCTGCAGTAGATCAGGGTGATGAGGCTGGCAGGCAGATGGTGCCAAGTGGCTGGTGGTGTTAGGCACATAGTTAGCCATCAAAGTTCAAAAGGCTGGAAGGGGCAACTAGGAGGGTTGCCAGGTGGTTCGAGCAGATGCCCAGTGGGCCAGGGAGAGGATGGATTGAGTCTGACTGGTACCAGTGAAGAGCTGGGTAGACAAGGGGTAGTGAGAAGTTGTGCTGGGTTCTGCTGGCAAGGGGTCTCTAGAAGGTGGGAGAGCCCAATATGAGTTTTCTCATAGTCAATGGCTTAATTGCTCTATGCCTCAGTTTGCCCATCTGTAAAACGTAAATGATAACATCTATCTTGCAGTTATATTTAATCAGGGGTTACATTTAATCAGGAAGGGCATACAGTAGGCACCTGATACAAGCTGCTTCCTATTCCTGAGGGTTTTCTATGTGGACTCTCCAAAACCCCATCTATGTGTATGGGTGCTAGGGACCAACCCAGGGCCCCATGCATGCTAGGCAAGCACCTTACTACTGAGCTACACCCCACCCTTTTTTCTTCCATGACAACTCCTTCTCCATCCTCCTTCTCCGGAAAAGAGAAAGGTGGGACACCTTTTTCTTGTGGAAAGCCGGTGGTGGCAGTTGAGGCTCTGAGGGTTTTTCCTGAGAGACTATTTTGTTTGTCGTGTGTGGTTCTAAAAATAAAGTTAGTTTCTTTTGACAAGTGGCTCCTGATTGTGCCCAGCCAGACTGCGGCACCCTCCTCCTTTCTTCTCCTTCTCTTTTCTTTTTAAACATATTTTAATATTTATTTTTTAGTTATAACTGGACACAATATTTTTATTTTTATGTGGTGCTGAGGATCGAACCCAGTACCTCACACATGCTAGGCAAGTGCTCCACCTCTGAGCCACAACCCCAGTCCTCCCCTTCTCTTTTCCCCTCAACTAGGGATTTAGCCATGAGTGCTCTGTCACTGAGCTATACCATCAGCCCTTTTATTTTTTTATATTTTATTTTGAGACAAGGTCTGACTAAGTTGCCCAGGTTGGCCTAGATCTTGCCATCCTCCTGCCTCAGCCTCCAGAGTAGCTGGGATTACAGGAGTGCACCACTATGCCTGGCCCCATTCAGTGCTTTGTGTAGGGTACTGCGGATTGAACCCAGGGGTGCTTTATCACTGAGCTATATCTTCAGATTTTTGATTTTTTTTCTTCATTCATTGCCTTCAATGTGTTATTGAGCCCACCACAGGGGCAGTTTTTTTTTTTTTTTTTTTTTTAATGTGGTGCTGGGGATTAGAACTCTGGGCCTTGTGCATTCAAAGCAAGAACTTTATCAACCAAGCTAGCTATATCCCTAACCCTCTTTTAAATTTTTGAGACAGGTTCTCATGAAGTTGGAGATGGACTCGTTTCCAATTTGCCATTCCAAGTAGCTGGAATTATACGCACATGCCACCACACCCAGCCATCCTGTGTTTTTTGAACCAAAATTGTGGACTCAATATTTGTCTTCATTAAATGTCACATTATTAGATATGACTCAACCTCCTTCACTCCATTGTGTCACCTAAAGTGTCACCCTCCTCCCATTCCCCACATATAGTTACAGCTTTGATCATCGAAGTACTTTTGGTTCTATTATAGACTCTTTCAAGCCAAGGAAAGAGCCCTGTGGTGCTCCACTGGAGACATTCCTCAGAGAGAGAGGTATTCACTGGTTGCAACTGGCCCACAATTCTCCATCATTCCTAGAAGGGTCTCTCTGTGTAAAAATCCAGATGCGCACTTATATCTTGTTTACATTTCTCTGAATAAAAAAAATGTCAAGAAATACCCCTTTTCCCCCTGTTTTGAGCTTTTTTGTTTGTTGTTTGTTTTGGTGCTAGGGATCAAACCCAGGGCCTTGCACAAAAGCTCTACCACTGAGCTATATCCCCAGCCCCAAGAAATCTTTTTTTTCAATCTGCACAGTCTCACCAGATGAGATTTTAACAAGCCCTTGATCTTCCAACTTTCCCTTTTCTTTTCTAAAGGATTGCAGCCCACATGCTCTTGAGCATAGCTTTCTAATTTTCCCCAGGGATTGACAGAAAACCCAGTAGGTCTGGAATGCCTCCCCCACTCCCAGAGACTCTTGTTTTCTTCATCATTTTATGCCTTTCCTGTCTCCTCCTTGCCCAGGCCTGGGATGTGGGGATCCCTACAGTCATTTAATCCACTGTTCAAGGTCTTTTGAGGGAGGAGGAGGGAGAGAGTCTGTGCTTGAGATGAGTAGATGGGTAGTGAAGAAAAGCCCATGGGTAGGTTTATGCCTCAGAGGCTCAAGCTACAGGGACAGGGCTGGGACCTCACCCTCACCTCTCTGGGGGCCTTTTTCAGGGTGTGTCTGGCAGCTACTCCAGGAAACATGGCCAAGTTTGCCCTGAATCAGAACCTGCCTGGTGAGTGTGCAAAATGGAATATATGATATGCAGAGATCCACACTTGGTGCTCCTGTGTGTGGACCCGGCCCTACAGTTCCTTCCTTTAAAACAGGGCCCTTTCCAAAGGCCCACTGAACAACCCCATGACCCTGCTTAAAACCCACCCATGGCACCCCATCACAAGTTGACTAAAATCCCAACTCTCCAAGGTGGCCCTGGAGGACTCTGCAGTCTGGCCTTTACCCCTTTCTCTCCCTCCACTGCACCTTCTTCCTTCCCTGCTGGGAACACCCCACTGTTACCCTAGCTGGCCCTGCCCACCCCTAGCCCAGGGTCTTTATGGACTGTTTTCTTCTTGACCTTCTGCCTGAAGCTGCTTAGATCTCATCATGCAGTGTTCAACTTTTAGGTTCCCTCCACAGGAAACCTTCTCTAATACCAACCAGGGCCAATTTCCTTCCCTCCAGTGATTCGTTTAGACGCTATTATTACTATTGCCCTTCTCACCGTCTGGAATGATTGTGTTTATTTATCTTTTCCCTACCAGAGGGCTCAGTCTAGAAAAGTGCTTGGTACCCAGTAGTCGCTCAATAGACTCATGAGTGCGTGACTATTTGGGTGCAGATGGACGTGCCAGCCTGGGGTGTGGGTATGCGCAATGGCAGGTGTGCAGAAGCCTGGTGGGGCTTCTGTCTCTTCTCTCCGGGGTTTCCTTGGCCTGACCACCACACTCCTGTCATTCCCGCAGACCTGGGAGCCCCTTGTCTGTTCCCTGGGCCCACTGGGGGTGCCCGCAGCCCGAGCTCGCCCTACTCTGTGGAGACCCCCTATGGCTTCCACTTGGACCTGGACTTCCTCAAGTACGTGGAGGAGCTGGAGCGCGGCCCCACCAGCCGCCGAACCCTGGGACCCCAGCTCACGCGCCGTCCTCGAGCGCCCCGGTCCGGCCTCGCGGGAGCGCGAAGTCCAGGTGCCTGGACATCCAGCGAGTCCCTGGCCAGTGATGACGGTGGAGCTTCGGGCGCACTCTCCCCCCGGGCGCCCCTGGGGCTCCAGTTGCCGCAGCTTTCGCCGCGCTCACTCGTGCGCAACCCGCGCGTCGAGCACACGCTGCTGGAGACGAGCCGGCGGCTGGAGTTGGCACAGGCGTCCGAGCGCGCTCTCAGCCCCTCCCGCGCGATCCCCCTTAGCCCGCGCGGGTCAGGCCGTAGCAGCCCCGCCCCCAGCCCTGCCCACAAACCCGCCCCCTCCTCACCCGGCCCAGCGCAACTGCAGCTGGTGCGCGAGCAGATGGCCGCGGCGCTGCGGCGCCTGCGCGAGCTTGAGGATCAGGCGCGAGCGCTGCCGGAGCTGCAGGAGCAGGTGCGCGCGCTGCGCGCCGAGAAAGCGCGTCTTCTGGCGGGGCGCGCGCGATCCGAACCTGATAGGGAGGTCGAGGCGCGCCCGGACAAGCTCGCCCAGCTGCGGCGGCTCACGGAGCGCCTGGCCACCTCCGAGCGCGGCGTCCGCCCTAAAGCCAGCCCCCGGGCTGACGGCCCCGACGGTTTGGCTGCGAGGCACAGCGAGGGCGCGCTCCAGCTCTCTGACTGGCCCTCCGGGACTCCCGATGGAGCACCCCAGACCCGGGAAGCGGGCACCGAGGCCGTGCCTGAGATCGAAGAGGCGGGTGCCCAGGCAGTTCCGGAGACCCGGGAGGTCGGCGTAGAGGCCGCTCCCAAGACCGTTGAGGCGGACGCGTGGGTGACCGATGAGCTGCTGGGGCTCCCTGAGGTCGCTGAGCGCGAGCTGGAGCTGCTACGCGCCAGCCTGGAGCACCAGCGCGGGGTGAGCGAGCTTTTGCGCGGCCGGCTGCAGGAGCTGGAGAATGCCCGCGAGGCTGCTGCTATCGGCGGCACGTCTCAGCCACGCGAGGCTGCCACCCAAACTCTGTGGGATTGTGCTGAGAAGGCTATACAGACGGAGCCCCCCGCGGAGGCCACCTCCCTGACTCTGGAGAACCCGCCCGGACCCACCGTTGGAGACCAGGCCGTGGCCCCCGCGGGTGAGTCCCAACCCCTCGCTGAGCCCTGACCTGGCCACTCTGAACCCAAACTTAACGTCCTGTCTGATCTCTGCCAGGTATCCTTAAATCCATCATGAAGAAGAGAGACGGTACACCTGGCGCTCAACCCAGCCCCGGACCCAAGAGCCTCCAATTCGTTGGCGTCCTCAACGGAGAGTGAGCGCTTTCCCCCTTTCACGTGGCAGTGGCTGCGGGGACCTGGAAGGGGTGTGAATCCCTATCTGTCCCTCTGCTCGCAGCGTGGTTTTAGCAACCCTCAATTTCTTCACCTATAAAACGGTGACAGCTACTCCCACCTCTCAGCACTCCAGAATGAGCCCACACAGGAGAGGCTCAGCGACGCCTCCCACCCCGCCCCCAGGTACGAGAGCTCCTCCAGCGAGGATGCCAGCGACAGCGCCAGCGACAGCGAAGAGGGAGCCACGGAGCCTCCGAGGAATAGCTCTTCGGGTTCCGGGGAGGACAGCAGCGGAGGATCCGACTCTGGCACCCCTGGTCCTCCCAGCGGCGGGGACTTCCTGGACCCAGAGCCTGAGACAGAGGCAGTACCTCAGCCAGGAACACAGGGGAGGTGAGAGGTGCCAGAGGTCTGGAGTGGAGGCGGTTGCACTCCTTCAGGTCACTGCTGCCTCGCATAGCGGCTGAACCGCGCCTCGCCTCGCCTGCTCCGCAGGTGCGAGCTGAGCCCCCGTTTAAGAGAGGCGTGCGCTGCGCTGCACCGGCAGCTGGGCCGACCTCGCGGAATTGCCCGTGATGGCGTGAGTAAAGGGAAACCCTTCCCACGGGGACCGTGAGGCCCCACCAGTGACTTCCCCTGACGCCCTCTTAGGTAAGAGAGTCGAGTTTCCTAAAATAGGAGTCCCAAGATCGGTCCCCTCTCGCCGGGCACCTCTCTCTCAAACCTTAACCCTTTTTGTTTTCCAAAGGAGCTCCCTACGCAGCCCCACTCCCCGAGTCCTCAAGGGCAAGTGCTCAGCGCCTTCCCCCACTCCAAGTTCTCCCACAGATTCTTCCCATAGATCCTTCCCCAGAAGAGCAGGACCCGTGTCCCCTTGAGCCTGGGAACCCCACTGACCGCACTTCTCTGAAAGGGGTGTGCCCCCAACCCTCCATATGGGTTCCCATTTCCCTTCTACTCACCAGCAGTGATCTTCTGTCCCTGCCAGCCCTGCCCCCACACCTTCCCTCTGCCAACCTGTCCTGGGAAGTCATTGACATCTTTGTCCCTGTCACGGCAGAATGCAGCGCGCCTTGTGGCCCAGGAGTGGTTTCGAGTGTCCAGTCAGCGGCGCTCTCAGGCTGAGACCGTAGCTGGGGTGTTACAAGGGGTAGGGCACCTGGGAAGCGACCTACTGGCACATGTGGTAAACCTGGCGGATGGTAATGGGAACACCGCGCTGCACTACAGTGTGTCCCATGGGAACCTGGCCATCTCGAGCCTGCTGCTGGATACGGGTCAGAGTCAAGGAAGGGTGGGTGGGAGACTAGGGAATGGGGGGCCCACAGAGGGCAGGGCCAGAGCCCAGCCAGGCTAGAGGACCCTGGAGGAAAACTGTAGGAAAGGGATGGCCGGCAGAGGGCACCACTGGCTCTTCCTCAATCATGGATGGATTGATTGCCAAGGTCATTTTGATTCCACCATAACCCTCAGCTCTGCCCTGACCCTCCTCCCAGCTTTTGGATTTGACAGACCTCATTTTAGGACTTAATCTCACCAGCCTTAAGCATGCTCATCTGTGAAATGGGGATGGCAATGCCACTCCTCCTGGGCAGCTGTAATGACATGTAAAAGGTGCTGAGCATGTAGTAGGTCAGTATGTGGCCACCATGCCTTCTGTCCCTCAATCTCCAGCCCTGGCATTCCCTGAGTTCTTGATTCCCAATGCCCAGCCTCCAGGGCAGGTACTCACTCCTCAGGGCTCTGACTACCCTCCCAGGCAGGGGTGCTATTCCCACTCATCTGCCTCCTGCTCGCTCATCCCTGGCTGCATCTTCTGTAGGGATCCACAGCCCTGGATACTGCCGGGTGCACAGACATTCACTGGGAGCCTAATGGGTGCGAGATTCTCCCTGGAGACCAAGCACAGATGTGATGGTGGACCACACCAACCACTGTCCGCACTTCCAGTTTCATTATCCTCCTGATTCTTCAAACCTTCTGGCTTCCCAGTGCTGTGGCCTGTTCCCCTCCCTTGACCTTGATATCAGTAACTGTGTCCCCTCCAGTCTCACTTCCCATGACCCCTCCTCAGGCTCACATCTCAACTTCTCAGCTCACTAGCTCTGCTTCCAAACCTCAATAACCCTTGGTTCTTAATGGGGACAAGTAACAAATATTTGCAAAAAAAAAAAAAAAAAAAAAGACAAGACCCCCAAAAAGAAACATTATATAAAAAAAAAATTCCAGGTGCAGTGGTGCACACCCAGTAACACTGGAGGTTGAGGGAGGAGTATTAAAAGTTCAAGGCCAGCCTCAGCAACTTTGGCCCTCAGCAATTTAGTGAGACCCTATCTCAAAAGGGCTGGGATGTGGCTCAGAGGTCAAGTGCCCCTGGGTTTAATCCTTTGTACCCCCCCCCCCCCCAAAAAAAAAAAAAATCCCAAATGCTCCTACTCCATTTTGTTACCTTGCCCCTTGTTTCCTTGCTTCATCACTGTTCCAGCTTTGGCCTGTCATGAACTCCTCCCCCGGTACCCCTCATCTCACTCTGCATGCTGGGCTAACTCCAGTGTGGCACACTGTAAATCCTCCAGTGTTTGTTGAAACAGAACATCAATGAATGGCTCTGTGTGTGATGGTGGGGAGTGGAGATAGACAACTATTAAATAATTCCAGATAGGGATAATGGCCGTGACAAAACAACCAGGAGATGAAATCAAGAAATGGGCTGATCCTTGGGTGTAACTCGGTGCTACTGCACTTGCCTGGAATCGTGAGGTTCAATCCCCAGCACCATACACATACACAAAACCCACAAAAAACGGGCTAGGCATGGTGGTGCACACCTATAGTCTCAGCAGCTTGGGATACTGAGGCAGGAGATTCCCAAGTTCAAAGCCAGCCTCAGCAACTTAGTGGGACAAAAAGTGTCTCAAAGGAAAAAAACAAAAAAGGTGATCCTTCAGGAGAAGTCTCGGGCAGCTGGGAAGGGAAAGGAAGGAGGTTAAGATGGGTTGGTCCTGTGGCTAGCCTGCAGAGGGAGACCCCACTCTGCATATTTTTGTGTCTCTCTTTCCACCTGACATTCTCCACTGTTGTCATAGAAACCTGTGGAAAAAACAACATCCACATGGCACACCATTGAACTACAACACCCAATTTTTAATATTTTGTGGTGCTGAGGTCTAAACCCAGGGCTTTGTGCATGCTAGGCAAGTGTTCTGCCACTGAACTACACCCTCAGGTTTCCTCTTTTGGTTTCACCTTGACTTAACCCTTTTACTCCCCAGTCCATAGCTTCAAAGTCCCTCCTTCACTGGAGTGTCCTTAAACATCCCTGATCCAGCTCCTTACTTCAGACCCCCCAAGATATGGTCCTCCCAGCTGTACAGCTCCTCAAACCATCTCTATCTTCATGGAGCTTCTAGAATGTTGGGGAGACAGGCACAAAAACAGCCACTCCAGCTGGATGTAGTGGCATACATCTGTCATCTCAGCCACTTAGGAGGCTGAGGCAGGAGGGTCCCAAGTTTGAAGCCAGCCTCTGTGAGACCCTGTCTCAAAATAAAAAGCTGGGGATGTATCTCAGTGGTCAAGTGCCTCTGGGTCCAATCCCCAATGACAAACAAACCCCAAAAAACAAAAACCACTCCAGTACATGTGGTCCCAATGAAGAGGGCCTGGATGGCAACAGAACTGACCTAGGAAACCAAGCTGATGTGTTTAGTTCTGAGCAGCATCAGTCAGGCTTTGTTTGTTTTCTGGGACTGCCATCAAGCACCACCATGTGAGCTTTTTTTTTTTTTTTCTTAAGTATTTAGTTTTAAGTGGACACAATATCTTTATTTTTTTATTTTTACGTGGTGCTGAGAATCAAACCCAGTGCCTCACGCATGCTAGGAGAGCACGCTACCACTTGAGCCACATCCCCAGCCCCATGATGTGAGCTTAATACAACTTATTTGCTTTTAGCTCAGGAATCTGAAACCAAGGTGTGTTAGCAGGGCTGGTTCCTGCTTGGGAATTGGAGGGAGAATCTGTTCCAAGCCTTTCTCCTAGCTTCTGGTACTCAGTGTTCCTTGGCTTGTAGTAGATTACCTTCAATTTCTGCCCCATCATTAATGTGGCATTGTCTGTTTCTCCTCCTTGATAAGGGACGTCAGTCATAGTGGATTAGGGCATACCATAACTACCTCAGCTTGATTACATCTGCACAGGCTATTTCCAAATAAGTTAACATTCATTAGTACGGGGGGTGGGGTAGAACTTCAACATATCTTTTTATGGGACATAATTCAACCCATAACACAGGCTAGTGTGGGGGGTGCTGAAGATTTCTAAGATCAGGGGTGGGCTTATAGTGTGGTAGAGCACTTGCTTAGCATGCACTAGGCCCTGGGTTGCATCCCCAGCACCAGAAAACAAAACACCCCCAGGAAAGATCAGAAGCTATTTAATAGTCTCATAAGTCATGGTGGGCCAGGGCCTGCATTCCAGGGGCTGGGGGGAAACCAGAGGCATTTTAATAGGCAGGTGACTGGGCCAAAAGCTTTCTAGACACTGCTTCTGGCTGCTGCGTGGAAAATGGAGTGTACTGAGACCAGGATGGTGGCTGGCCATTCTTCAGGGCAGCAATGATAATGATTTAGTGGATTTTAGTCATGAGAACAGACATCCATTCAGTCTGTCAACAAATGTTTATTGAGCAGCATCTACGGTGTCAGGTTTTGTTCAGAGCACTGAGAGATACAACAGCCAACAAAACATGACCAGTTTGAAATAGGGAGTCAGGGAAGGATTTACTGAGGTGAGATGAGAAACCCTGGGGGAAGAGCCATATAGTTATTGGGGGGAGGCAAAGGGCAAAAGGGTGACTGCCACTAGGCAGAAAAAGGACTTAGGCCCTGGAGGGAGGTGTGGACAAGGCTGAGTTGCTGATATGGGCCTGTTGCCTGATCACCCCTCTCCCCCAACAGGGGTCTGTGAGGTCAACCGCCAGAACCGAGCTGGCTATTCTGCACTCATGTTGGCTGCACTCACCTCTGTGGGACCGGAGGACATGGCAGTGGTCCAGAGACTCTTCAGAATGGGTGATGTAAATGCCAAAGCCAGCCAGGTGTGTGGACATCCCCACTCAGCTGAAGTTAGGATTGCTTTTACATTAAGTGCAGCTTCTCACCTTCCTTCCCCACTTCTTCCTTGTTGTCTAGACAGGACAGACAGCCCTCATGCTGGCCATCAGTCATAGCCGCCAAGACATGGTGGCAGCCCTGCTGGAGTGTGGGGCTGATGTGAATGCACAGGATGCAGATGGGGCCACAGCACTGATGTGTGCCAGCGAGTATGGACGACTAGACACTGTTCGGTTGCTGCTGGCCCAGCCAGGCTGTGACCCTGCCATCCTTGACAATGTGAGCCACTATCATGGTGCTGAATGGTAGGGTGTATGTGTGCCCATGGTAGCTTAGGGACCTGATGTCTAAACTTTCCTCAGGAGGGCACCAGTGCCCTGGCCATCGCCCTGGAGGCCGAGCAGGATGAGGTGGCTGCTCTGCTGCACACCCACCTGAGCTCCAACCAGCCTGGTTTCCAGGTGAGCACAGCCTCCCAGCTGCAGATCAGGTTTGAGGAGAATACTAAGCAAGCCCCAGACTTCCCTTCCTGGAGAGCATGGGGTGGGGTATCTGTGTCTGGGTTTCCCTATGTGGCTATGGTTTGATATTTAACCTGCAAAACACTGAACCTGTGAGGTAGACATAGGGTCATGAGACTAAAGTCCTAAAGAGAAAAAGGTGTTGGTGGGCTTCTGCTACCTGCCCCAAGGATACTCATATTGAAGTAAAAGGAGAGGCAGGTAGAGGAATGGGGTGCAGACTTTCATAAATCCAGGACTCAAGACTGGGGGAAAGCTCCACAGCAGTGGGAGGGGGAGGGGTCTAGGGGTAGAGGCTTATACTAGATGTCAAGTGCCTGGCTGTTCTCAGGGCTTTACTCAACTCATTCAACCCAGCCACCCACCCTACACTAGAGATGTGGGAATGGAGGTCAATTATCTCTTCCAAGTCAGAGGCAGAGCCAGGATTCAAACCAGGCAGGCAGAGCCCACAATAAAGGCTGAAGTTTCTCCTTAGGAATGACCACAAAGGGGTCTGCTAGGTCATCAAGACTGGGGCTAAAACCCCCAACTTCTGCAAGACTCTGCAGCAGGACCCCTTTCCTTCCTCTGTCTCTAGAGCCAGCTGCCTCCAGACTCTCAGACAGCTACACCTGGAGGAGAAGGCAATGACAATGAAGGGGAATCCCAGCCTCAGTGAGCTGCCCAGCACATGACCTGGATGGTGGGGAAGAGGGAGATCATTCCTTTCCCCACCTTGCCTCTGGATCAGAACAGGGCCAGGGTCCTCAGTACAGATTCCTGCCCTAGTGTGACAGAAAAGCTGCTTCAGCTGGGATGGTGCAGCATTAGGAAGGCCTTATGCTGAACCTACCAAGGTGAGGTGGGATCTGGGGAGTTATACCTCCTGGTCCACCCACACTCCCCCCAACTTTTTCCAAATAAAACACTTCTACTAAACTTGTGTTTTGCCCCCAGGAGTGTGTGCGTGGGGGGCTGGGACACATATGCATAGTTCCTCTTTTTCTTTTTTGTTTTAATAGTAGATGGACACAATACCTTTATTTTTATGGGGTGCTGAGGATCCAACCCAGTGCCTTACATGTGCAAGGTGTGTGCTCTACCACTGAGCCACAACCCCAGCCCAGCATGGTTCTTGGGAAAAACCACACCCCCTTAAATTCCGGATTGCAGAGGGCCAAAAGAAAATCTAGCTAACAGCCCAGACAAAAACTGGAGTTTATATACAATACAAACTCTTTATTTAACAAATGCAGATCATCCTGTGGGCCAAGCAGTACAGATCCAGAACCCTGTAAATAGAGTAGTAGAATATGAGAATGCCGGCAGAGCCCTCAGCAACTAGCAAAATTCTCTTCACTCTTGCTAGTATCTATACAGATCCTTTCCACCTCCTAAGACCCTTCTACCTAAGCCGTGGATCTAACAGGGACATAATTCAACCCATAACACAGGCAGGGGTGAAGGCTGCCTCTGTACCTACCAGCAGCAAGTTCAGCGCAGCCTCCGAGCCTCTCGCTCCGATTCCAATAAAGTTAGCACGTCGCCCTCACGGACGGGGCCTTTCACGTTGCGGATGATGGAGCGACTTGTGTCGTCCATAAATTCCACGCGCACCTACAGGCCCACCGGAGGACAGGAGTAAGAGTGGACGAGTGAGAGTTACCACGGAGTGGAAAGCTGACATGGGTTCAAAGGACGTATCGGGAACGGACCTGAAAATACTGTGGGGACCATCGGAACCCGAGGGAATGAGGTGGCCAGGGCTCGGAGCCCCGGGATAAAGGGAATGTCGACTCTCAGATCCCCTTAGGTAGGGTCTGAGGCAGGGAAAGGGTTTTCATCAGGGCTCAGATCCTCGCAAGTCGTCCGGGCGCCCGCCCCCACCCGCTCACCTGCGTGCACTGTCCCTGCGAGCCAGTCCTACCCAGCACCTTGGTGACCTGGTGGAAAGAAGCTACAATCAGACCTGGACTTCCCGGTTCTTCTACCCACTCCCTCAATTCCCCTGAGCCCCAAGGCGGGCGCCCGCCTCACCCTGGCCAGCTTGATGGGCTGCACACGGCTCGTGTCCATGATGGCGGCGCCGCGGCTGTCGGTGGAGAGGAATCACGTGTCTCCGGGATAGCTTTTATACAACGCTCTAGCCACGCCCACTCCTGCTCTCGCGACATGACGCCGCGCACTTCCCAGCATCCCTCGCGGTAGAGACGTCACGGACGCCCTTCAGCGCGGACGGAAGATGGCGTCCGCTACCCGCTTTATTCAGAAGCTGCGAAACTGGGCATCTGGGGTGCGCGGGATGGGCAGGGCCGCGCTGGAGGGGATGGGGACGGGGACGAGGATGTGGGCTCTGTGCACCCCAGACCCGCTACTTACTTCCCTCCTAAGCCGGGCCTTCGCTCAGTGGAGGATGTCTCCTAGATTCCCCAGTTCCTGACCCTGTTAGCCCGGAATTTACTGTCCCCCCGCCACTATCTGGGCCCGGGACTGACTCAAGTCTGGGATTTCCCTCGCTCCCCACCTTGCCTTTGGATCCCGTGGCCCTAGCATTCCTCTTCATCAGCATGGCCCATAGACCTGTCCTGGCTGTTCATCCCCTTCCCTCTTCTCCCCTGCGATGCCCCGCAGGCTGACCTCCCTTCTCCTCCCACAGCAAGACCTGCAGGCGAAGCTGCAGCTGCGCTACCAGGAGATCGCCAAGCGGTGAGCCGGCCCCGCTCGCTGCCCAGCCTCCAGTCCGGTCTTTCCTCCACCAAAAACAAAATCCGTGTGCTGTTAGATCCCTGGAGCGCTGGGCAGGGATCCTGCCTCCACCGCCTGCGAGGCTATGGAGCAGAAATAAAACTGTGCCTTTGAGTTTGCTGAACTCTCCGTGAAGCCGGCTTTTTTGTAATAGGGAGGCTGGGCGTGTATTCTGGTTTGGAATTTTGAGTAGGTTTTCAGTTTTCGATGTGGCCCCTTCGTTACTGTTTAATCTCCAAGCTACAGAGTAAAAAAACAATAGACCTGGAGAGGCTAAATCATTTGTCTACAATCAGTTGGACACTAGAATGTGACAGCAGGGGGCTGAACCCCAAAGTGTCCCTATTACAAACTCTTTCATGTAGTTGATATACATACAAGCCCTTGCCATGTTCTCAGCTTTGGGGATACTCTATGAACAAGAGAAGTTCTTATCCACATCTCTTTGGTGGTGTTCACCTCCTAGGGAGAAACAATAGGGAAATAGACATAGCAAGTACCATGGTTCTGAAATGTTTTCAAGATAAAACAATAAATGCGAATAAGCTGGAGGGTGGCTATCCGAAGTCAGATAGTTGGAAGAGGTCTTTTTTCAGGGTTTACCATTGAGTCACCCAAATGATGGGAAGAAACCAAAGAATAACCATTGAAAAAGCATATTGCTGTTGGCAGAGGGACCAGCAAGTACCGAGGTTGTGAGGTTGGGCAGAGTCTGAAGTAGGAAGGAAGTTAGTATGGTGGGAATACATCCAGGGAAAGGACTTTGGGATTGAACTCAGGGCGGCATGCATGCTAGGCAAGTGTCTACCACTGAACAATGCCTCCCAAGTCATTCAAGGTTATCATGAATGAAAGTAAAATAGCATTAATAGCATTAAAATAATGAAATTGATGTGAATGCTGCATGTTGTGATTAGTTCCAAATATCCTAAAATATTGAATTGTTTTTTTTTTTTTGGTGGTACTGGAGATTGAACCCATGGGTGCTCTATCACTAAGTCACATCCCCACCCCGTTGGCCTTGAACTTTAATCCTCCTGCCTCAGGAATTAACAGGCCTGGGCCACTATGCCCAGCTTGAATTGCTTTTCTATCAGGGTAGTTAGTGGGCCAGTAGAGAAAATGATATTGTGAATTTTTCAACTTCTTTAGGATAGTGGTGCCCTGTAGTGATTAATTTGGGCCCTTTCATTGGGCAACTGTTACGTTTCTGTGCAAGGATGCAGAAACCTAAAGTTTATAGTTTAGAGGGGCATCTTTGCCTTCAGTAGGAAAATTCTGTCACATAATATATTGCATGTCATGTTTTAAAATGTTTACCTTATATCTGCATTTCTTATTTTAAAAATACAAATACTATCACTTGTTCTAAGAAACAAATATTTAAGTTGTAGCACAACAGTTACCAAACAAAAATATTATTCAACAACGTAGCTAAATAAAAACCAGATTTTCTTTTCTTTTTTTTTTTGGTAGTGGGTATTTAACCCAGGGGCACTTAACCACTGAGCCACATCCCCAGCCCATTTTATTTTTTTTTTAATTTTTTAGTTGTAAATTAACACAATACCTTTATTTTGTTTATTTGTATGTGGTGTTGAAGATCAAACCCAGTGCCTCACACGTGCAAGGCAGACGCTCTACCACTGAGCCACAACCCCAGCCCCCCTTTTTATTTTTTGAGACAGGGCCTCGTTAAGTTTCTTAGAGCCTCCATAAGTTGCTGAGGCTGACTTCAAACTTGTAATCCTCCTGCCTCAGCCTCCCGAGTCACTGGGATACGGGCATGCACCACTGCCCCTGGCAAAACCAGATCTTGTGATTTTTCTCCCTGTCTTCTCTGTCCCCTCCCTCTTTCCCACTTTCCTCTGGGAAGCTCCTCTTTTGTTTAGAACTCAGCATTTCCTTTTAAGGCCTCAGACTTCTTGGTAAATTTAGTCCAGAATTTAGTGCAAGAGTCTTGGCGTCATACCACACAGTGGCAGGAAATGTAGAGGTCTGGACAGGCTCCAAGGGCAAGGTGTTCTTTGAGGAATAAGCTTTGATCCCAGCAGGATTCTTCAAGGAGTTCCTGAGATGACAGGAAACCCAGGGATTCCATAGATTGACCTTTTGGGAAAAAGCTATTCAAAGCAGACAAAAATCCAGTGCTGCTGTCCAAGTGTTTACAGTTGATGGATAGGTGGTAGCCATAACCTGGCTCGCTGCCTCTTCTGTTTCCTGAGCTCCTGCAGGTAGAGGTGAGGCCAGCTGCCAGACTTGGCTATACATAGATATGGGCTCCCCTTCTGGGAGTCTCACCAAGCGTCCTCCATACCTACCATATTTACCTACCATGGGGGAGCCTGAAGTAAGGCAGACTTTGACCTGACCTTGTATTACCCTCACATCCAAAGCAATGTCTACTACCCGCTTCTGGGCTCTGGGCCCCTACCCATGCATGTATGCATAACTGTGTCAAGGGACATGTTGGGCTTGCAGCCCATTCCCATGGCCGCAGACCCTGAGTCTTGTGACTGACTTGATTGGACCACAGTGAGGCAATGGGAGAGACTGTTGGTTTGCTTCATTCAGTGCCAATGTTCTTTCTCCTTAGGACTCAGCCTCCTCCCAAGCTCCCTGTGGGCCCCAGCCATAAGCTCTCCAACAATTACTACTGTACTCGTGATGGCCGCCGGGAAGCTGTGCCCCCCTCAATCATCATGTCCTCACAGAAGGCACTGGTGTCAGGCGAGACAGCAGAGAGGTGAGGACCTTGAGCATCACTTGCCCAGAGCCCTACAGTGCTCTCTCCTTCCTCTGGACCTTTCTTCCCTGCTGAAAGGTGCTTTTCTAGATTCTGTTTATCTGGCTGGGGGTGTAGCTTAGTGGTAAAGCACTTGGCTAACATACACAAGGCACCGGGTTCAATTCTCAGCATTGAACCCAGTGCCTTGTGTATGTTAATTGAATGAAGAATTGTGCTACTGACGGTTTTTCATTCCAGAGCTCATTTAATCCAGCCCCAACCCATGATAGGATTTAGTACCTCAGTTGGGGGTGCGTGTTTTCAGATGAAGTCTGATGTCCCTTCAAGGGTCCTAGGAAAAGCCTGGACATTTTACTGCTTTTATAATTTTTTTTTTCTTTTTGGTGGTGGTGCCAGGGATTGAACTCAGGGCCTCATGCATGCTAGGCAAGTGATCTACCACTGAACTATGCTTCCCAAGTCGTTGGCATTATAGGTGGTGAGCCACTGGACTGGCTCCAGTTTGTCTGTCTGTCTGTCTGTCTCTCTCTCTCTCTTTCTTTCCAGTAATGGGATTGAACTGAGGACCTTGCCAATGCTTGGCAGTTGCTTTACCACTAAGCTCCTCCTCCAGCTCTTTTTATTTTTTACTTTGAGACAGGTCTCACTAAGTTGCCTGCACTGGCCTTGAACTTGTCATCCTTCCACCTTAGCCTCCTGAGTAACTGGGATGACAGGTGTACATCACTGCACCTGGCTAAACAGCATTTTGTTCAACTGCATATTTTTTTTTTTTGAGAGAGCAGAGAGAGAGAGAGAGAATTTTAATATTTATTTAGTTTTCGGCGGACACAACTCTCTGTTTTGTATGTGGTGCTAAGGATCGAACCCGGGCCGAATGCACGCCAGGCGAGCGCGTGGTAGCTTGAGCCACATCCCCAGCCCTTGTTCAACTGCATATTAACTTTTAGCCACACCAGACTAAGAGATCCCTAAGCACAGGACCTTCTTTTACTAGCATTGTGCCCATGTGCAGAACCTTGAGGAAGACCAGTGGACACTGTCACCTGATTGCTAGGTCCTTTTGCCAGCATCCTGTTTGGGGGCAGCAGGAATGGTTGGGTGTCTTGTCCATACCAGATGGCTTTAAGTGGGAAGGGAAGAACCCAGCTATTTCCTGCCCAGGAACCAGTGCAGGTTCACTGGCGTTTGCAAGGGGCTGGGGAAGCAAGGAAGTATACCCCCATTGTAGGGGTTTGGGTCGTCTGAAACACCTGCCCTTTGTCTCCAGAACCAGAAAGTCCCAGCAGGTGTGTCTGTACCAGGTGTGGGTGTGTTCTCCTCTTAGATCCTTTTGTACTGTTCTCTGGAGACCTAGCCCTAACTGAAGTCTGTGTTCCTCTTCCAGCTCAGCCGTGGCAGCCACTGAGAAGAAAGCAGTGACGCCTGCTCCTCCCATGAAGAGGTGGGAGCTGTCCACAGATGAGCCTTACCTGTGACACTGCCCGCATGCTCATAGGCTACTTGGCCATGTCTCCAGGGCCATCTGAGTGCTTTTCCTCCCTGGATTCCCTCTGGGGATACTGTGACCTAATGTATGAAAAATACAAGGAATTCCATATCACTTCAATTTTTTCTTTCTTCTTTTTTAAATAAGGGTCAGGGCCTTTCTCTGTTCCCCAGGCTGACCTTGAACTCCTGGTCTCACGTAATGTTCCTACCTCAGCTTTCCAAGTACCTGGGACAATAGGCATGTATCACCAAGCCTGGAATTTTTGCTTTTTAAGTGACTCCAGCTTACTTGGATTTGGGGTAAAGTTGGTGCCAAGTTTAACTCATGTCAGTGCTTCAGAGGTGGGAAAGGAATGTTTCCTGGGCTTCCTGCATGCAGAGCTGATGATGTGGTGCAGGAGGCCTGGCTCTGCTCCCAGGGTCGTGGAAATAGGGAGTGGGGTGGCTCCTTCTTGGTGACTGGGTTCCAGGCCCTCTGGGTATTTGGGGAGTAATGACTACCAAGGCCCATGGGCGGGAGTTGTACTTAGAAGACCAAACAGATGCTCATTTGAGAACTACCCCCATCATTGCTCATGGGGAAGGAAGTTTAGGCACCTCCCCACTGAGGCTCCCAGTTGGTCTTGGCCACCTGCAGCTCAGTGGGGGGAACAGAGGGCAGCAAGGGCAGCTCACAGAAGTCTCACCTTGAGTGGGTTCAGAAAAGCCTTCCTGAGCCAGAAGGAAGGTTGGGAAGGAAGGTTGCTGGTCCCTGTGGAGCAGTGAGCAGAAGAGAGAAGGCTGCAGGGTGTGAACAGTGGCCTGGAGCTGGGGGAGTGTCAGGGCTGCCCCACCCCTGTAACCTCCAGTAGGTGCAGAACATCTGGCTATGTGCCAAGAGTGTC